AGGGAAAGTCATGACGTGTTGTTCTATGCAAAACTGTGTCGTGACTTTTCCTACAACTCAACAGCTCAATCCCTTACTATCTTTGACCTCAGTTTCTTCATCTGCTAAATGGGGGTAATAATGGGACCTCATTCACAGAGCTGGTCTGAGAATTAAATGAGATTATGTATGTAAATATGGGCATTGTTATCCTTGTTTTGCATATTAGGAAACAGAGATCCAAAGGTCTTCTGTAACTTGCCCACATAGCATATCAAGTAAGTGAAAATATAGGAATCTGAATCCCAGTTACTCTGATTCCAAAGTCTACATTCTTTTCTTTCTTTCTTTCTTTCTTTTTTTTTTTTTTTTTTTTTTTTTTTTTTGAGAGGTTTTTGCTATAGGGCACGTGCGCTCACCAGACAGATAGACAGAGACAGACAGAAAGCGAAAAATCACCCCTCCCCCCCCAGGGAGGATGGCCATGTCACAATCCCTTCTCCTCCATTCTCCTCTCGGGATCTTGGACACGCACGCACACGTGCCCGGTGTGGGTTTTAAGCCACCGGGTCTGGGACGCAAACCGTGGTCAACTACTTGGGAGTCCAGCGTCAGAGTCATTACACTAACTGCTGGTCCCACCAGAGTCTACATTCTTAACTACTGAATGGTAGTATTATAAACAACAATCAGAGCAAGGATCAAGGTTCAGCTTCTGGCCCTGGAAGCCATTGCTCTAACCTGTCTGCCTTGTCTCAGGCAAGGCCCACTTCCCACATGCCACCTATCTGCCTAACTCAGAAAGTTTAGGTGTGACGTCAGACCCCCATTCCCTGTCTTATTCCTGATCTGCTTTTCCCAACACTGAGATCTTTGGTTTTAAGATCTGCCTTTACCTACTCCCTTGCCTTTTCCAGTATGGAGATGACACATACTTACTCTTCTTGGTGTTCAGATCCTAATTTCATTCTGAGTGTTTGGCTTGGTCTTGGGCTCCCAGAATTCCTACTACTTTGGACAGAAAGCCTTACTTTAGTTTGGCTTCTCTGAGCCTGGCACTGTCATCAGTCATTTGACCACATTTGGTCCCTCCATGGGGCAGGGGAAGAGGTGAGAAGATTAAAGCATATGATTGAAAGAGACTAATGACCTTGGGACCACTGTGTCGTACAACTCCAAGGAATAATACCACTCATACTGTGGTTCATGTAAATGGTGTGCCTAAAGCAAAAGTAGACTCACAATGCAAATGGTGCCACCTGGGTCTGTACAACATGGGGCCCTTGTAGACAAAGGCTCAGCTTCTTTAATTAAGTAATTTGATAAAAGGAAAAAGAAGGGCAAGGGAAATGAAGTGAAGAGAATTAACTGGTGCCGAGTCGTGCATGTTTTGCCTGTATTCCTCCTCTGCAGCCTTCTTACTAACCCTCTGAGTCAAGTGTATAAAAATACAGATGAAAAAAACAGAGGCTTGAAAAAGGTTGGGTAACTTGTCAAAAGCCAGATAGCAAATAAATGATGCCAAAAGCAGAACTTGGTTCAAGATGGCTATTTTGCTACCAAGACTGGGAAATTAAAGGAAATTGAGTTTCATAGATTTTTATTTTCAGGAACTATGATTATTGTTTTACAAGAGGAAATTTTCCAGCAGAGCTGAAAATATTTTTCTGTGTGGAACTCTCATCAGTATCAATTCAGCAAGATTTCAAGTCCCTGGAGTTTATGTAAGAAGGCTCTTTGAAAGAATTAAAGCTGAGGACATCAGTGCAGGGGTTTCTTTACATTATTCGCCCCCAGGG